CAATTCAGAAGTCTCCATTCCTGTTTTAGTTTACGATAAGACCTAGCCACCAATTCTTTCCAACCTACTTCTCATTCGAAAAAAAGAACATTCCGCAAGAAATAAAGTCTTGACAGTGAGATTTTATTATAGCTTGATGCATATTTAGGATGTGTTTTTCATCTGTAGATTCAGAACTTATCCTCATTTACAATTAAGCAGCTCGTGCAGTATTCCCTCTTTAATAGCGTCTTCTGACTGCACCGACAGTAAGCAGCCATTCTCACGGATACATTTAAGCTTAGTTGATAGGTCTGCACCATAGATATGAAAAAGCTTTAACCGCTTTGAAACTCTACTAACAGTAACATCCACTGATATGGATTGGAAGAAATTCACTTTGAAAAATCTCACCTTACCCTCATTCAACTGTGGATATTTGATACAAAGGAATTAAGCGTTGCTCATTTTGCAATACCAATGCGTAATATTAAAATTAATCGTATTCTTAATAATTTTTAAATAAATATAATCTTGGTGTAAAGTGTCTTTTGACATTTTGTTTTCTCTTTTCAATTATTCATCTAAGTGTAATCTTATGAATAAAACCGAGTTTTGAGGTAGATCAATTTAATTTATATTCATTTTATGCCCATTTTGTACAGAGCAATTCAAGTTTAACAAACAAATATAAAACATGGGATTTATTCACCCTAATTTGTTTAATGTAATGAAGTACTGGTGATTAAATTTTCCCACAATGATATGAGTAGACTGATGCTTCCATTGAATGTCAGGTAGCAGTGCTTTCCCGCAGTTTCGAACCCGCTTAAACTGGTTTAATCAACATCCCCAGCGAGAGTCGAACCCTGACAGCGCAGCGTATACTCTCGACACATTGACCACTACCTCACATTGCCACGAATGCCCTTGGGTCACAGGGCAGGCGTGAATTTCAAAGAAGGTCAGGCATTTTCCCATACTAATCTCCTTATCACCCTAAACGAAATAGGACGAACACATCTAATGTATATGATTTACTGGTAGTCTCGAAAGTTTACTGAGAAACGAAAAATTAAGGAACGTAATCGATTGCTATAGCAAATACTAATATGCGTTATCGACAGTCCCATCACAGAATGGGATATGGGAAAATTCCTAGCCTTCCTTGCAATCGATATCTGCTCATTGGCCCTTGAGGACTAGTGACGATATGATGCAGTGGTTAGCGTGTCGAGATTATGCGCTGCCCTGTCATGGTTCGAGTCCCGTTGAGGGTGCTGGGAAGACCTAAAATAGGTCAAAACTGCAGTCCACTTCAATACTATGTGAAATTCAATGGAAACGTCACGTCTACTTATATTATTGTGGGAAAATTCAATTTCCAGTCTACTTATCACCCCAAATAAAATAGAATGAATACATCTTATACATGGTATTCTTCAATTATGGTGGAAAAGTGCTTAGGTTTCGTCCGTTCTATGACAGCAATCCTTGGGGGCAGGATGTCATTTTTACAGCCTCATTCAAGCATTTTTCTTGATTAGTTCGCCTGAATACTTTTGAAAGTGTGGTACCCAGCTTTGATTATATCCATCCTATGACGGACAAGAGTTAAGCATTTTTCTCAGGAATCGGAGGAGATTGCCTCGGGGGAATCGTCAACAAGGATATTCAATCGACGGCTGGCCAAGAGGAATCTGCCGTCATCTTCTGATGGATTCGACCTTAAAATATCATCATCACACTTTTAATCAAAGTCAAATTGATATCAACAAACACTCGGCTATATGAGATGTATTCACCCCATTTTGTTTAAGTTAATGAAGGACTGGTAGTTGAATTTTCCCACAATGATATGAGTCGAGTTGACGCTTTCGTTGAATTTAACAGAGCCTTGCTTTCCAAAAAGTGGTCCTCATCCAGGACGGACAACATTTTGGAAAGCAAGGCTTTGTAAAATTTAATGGAAGCTTCAGCTCCACTCATATCATTGTTGGAAAATTCAACTACCAGTCCTTCATCACCTTAAACAAAATAGAGTTAAGACATCGTATATAAGTGATTTACTGTTATGCTCGAAACTCTGCCTATAAACGAAAGACACTTGGTTACCTAAGGGCAAAATATGCCCCACCAACGATGTGAATTGGGAGAGATTCGCTTTACTGTGTAAGGCATACATTCCGTATGGTTACAGATGAAACGGTCTTGTCCGCCCATGCGTCCAAGATTGAAATTCCGCTGGGTAGGAGTAGATAACATGATATAAACTGCATTTTGCAGTGCACAGTACAGAGCTCGTGTACAGAATAAAATTATTTGGTAATGGTCCTGATAGCCGCGATACAAACTGTTTTCTAGTGGCTAGAGCGTATAATGCAAATTTGCTACTTTAAGATACATCTGAATGCATATTCCCTAAATGTATTGCAATTTTAAGGCCATAATGGGAAATGGGGCCCCAGCTATCTTGTTTCTAGCAGTACTACTCTTTCCACTAATTAGGTGTGATTTACGCCTTTAATTTTATTTTTTAATACTATCGGTTTTCTGAACATTTTATTCAGTTCGTCGCTCATCCTCATTGTCAACACCTGCTCACTTCCCTGTGGTACAATCGGCTTCCCGGCTGGAGGCGGCATCACCCACTCACCAAAGTGATTATCTGCCTGGGCTTTGCCGTGGCGATGCCGATCTTGGCGCCAATCTACCTCATTTATCCAAAGGGCCGAGTTGGCA